TCTGTTTGGGATTCTCCCTGTGAGTACCTTGTGCTGTAGAATTAGGATTCTCCGTTAGTATTGCTGTGGAAGATGTAGGTTTCCCAGACGGTGGTGGTGTGAAAGTTGCACGATTCCCGGATGGCATTGGTGTTTCACCGAAGGTCTGAACTTCCAATTTATTCATTAGTGTAGCGATTTGCAAGTCCTTTTCTTCAATAGTCTTTGTGAGGTTCTCAATGGAATGAGCCATAGTTGCTAGTTGTTCCTCCACCGTAGCAGCTCCAGTCATCATTGCAGCAACCACATCTGAGTATGATGGGCCTTGAGAATCCACGTTCCTTGAAGTGATTGATTGCTCCGAAGTCTGACGTGGTGACTCTGGGGGTGAACCGACACTAGAGTGAGCATCATAGATAGAACGAAGTGAATTTGGTGGTGGAGCCTCCTCTGGAATAATGTCAAGGTTTTTGACATGTTGAGTTTTCACGTTCGCCGGTGTTGCAGGATTAGTTTTCACCACATCTTGCTGAAGTTTGAATGACGCCATCGCCTGGGACTTGCTACGTGTTACAGGGCCCGTCAAGGTACTTCCATCGCTTAATTTGGTCTTCGTGCCACTTTTCATGGTGGCTTTAGCGTCGACCTTTGCACTAGCGATGTTCTTTTGGGCTTTCTTGTCTGTCTGAATCTTAGGAGGAGCCATAGAATCTGATAGAGAAGAAACTTGATGGTAGGAGAAAGAGATGAGAGGCAAAGGTGGTCCCACCGGGCGTGCCACAAATTTGTACACACAAATTTTGTAAGTCTGCAATAGAAACAAAATATGGAGCAAATAGAATTTTATTAATTTATGAATGTGGAGTACAGTCCTTTGTAATATCTTTTACAAAAAAAGAATGGTCCTCTTATTCGATCTCCTTGTTTTTGGTTGGTTGGATCCAAGGGCTGCACGAGCTTGTTCTTGAATCAATGTGGAATTTGATGAAGAACGGGACGTTGTTGGATGTGCTTGATGTTCTTCGCTTTTGGGTTTCGATTCTGAATTTGTGTTCGAATTCTGAGTCTTTGGATTTCTGAGTCTCTTCTGAATTCTGAATTTGTGTCTGAATTCTGAGTCTTTGGATTTCTGAGTCTCTTCTGAATTCTGAATTTGTGTCTGAATTCTGAGTCTTTGGATTTCTGAGTCTCTGAACTTCTGAATTCTGAATTTGTGTCTGAATTTGTAGACTTCTGAATTCTGAAATCCTCTCCCCTTTTTCTTCCTCCAAGCCTCTATTTATAGGCTTCTTGGATTAATAGGATGATAACACGTGTCATCTCCTGATAAGGAAAAAAAATTATAATTGGGCCGGGCCGGATATATTATGATAATTATCCTTAAAAATAATTATTCCAAATATATTTTATTAGGAATAATTATTCTTTTTATTTGACCATCTAGACTCCAGACTGGGCTTAATTAAATAATTTAAGTGGACCATACTTGGGCCAATTAAATAACTTAATTAATCATTGGGCCCATATTTAATGGGTCCATTTGTCCAAATTAAAGTTCACAAAAATTTTAGTGTCTACAAGGTACAAGTGCCATGATCCCATAAGCGAGACCTTGAATTCCGACGCTGGCAATTCAGGCTCCGGCAAGCTCTAGCGCGCCCAAATGGCGGGTAAACATCAGGGTGACAAAGCTGAGCATGCAGTTGAAAATGGAAACGATGATGGAAGCCCCCGAAAGGAGCCAGGATTCCCAACCCGCGAGGCGAGGATACCATTGGAGAGCCACCGGCCTGTGTGACAAGAATTCCTCAACGGCGGCCGACGACAAAATCTGGAATCCAAGCGTGCGAGTCCAATCCCAGCAGCAGAGTCTGATACACTTCATCGTGACCTTCTTCCACTGACCCCATTTTTTTGCCACCAATTAAAATCAATGCACTACTTCACTTAATGTGCATGTGTGAGAGAAATGATAGAATCATTAAAAAAAAATTCTCACGGGGAAGAATAGTGTCTTTTTTGGTCTTTTTATAATTTTATTTTTTTTTTAATAAAATTATTCAATAAGGATAATTTGGTCAATTTAAATTTTAAACGTGTCACCCCGACCTAATTGTACCAAATTAAAATTTGAAGAATGTTTTTTGTATGCACGGTAAATATTCTTTGCGGATGTTTTTTGCACTAGACCCACATATAAGAAGCAATATTGGATTCGTTCTTATGATTTTGATTAGACATTCAAGTTGGCTTTGTTCAAGCTGATTACAATGTCAATTTTGTTCTCTCTGTAGTATTTTAAGGCGTACGGTTGTAAAATATCATCTTGTGATCATCACATAAATCAAACTCTCTTCCTTCCGATTTGATGGTTAACAACACAATATATATATATACTCTTCCTTCCAATTTGATGGTTGACAACACAATATATATATTACAATGTCAATATATATATATATATATATATTGTGTTGTCAACCATCAAATTAGAAGGAAGAGTATATATATATATATTGTGTTGTCAACCATCAAATTGGAAGGAAGAGAGTTTGAATATATATATTGTGTTGTCAACCATCAAATTGGAAGGAAGAGAGTTTGATTTATGTGATGATCACAAGATGATATTTTACAACCGTACGCCTTAAAATACTACTGAGAGAACAAAATTGACATTGTAATCAGCTTGAACAAAGCCAACTTGAATGTCTAATCAAAATCATAAGAAAGAATCCAATATTGCTTCTTAACGTAGGACTTGAAATGAGCTTGTAGACCATTTATTTATTTCCCTATATAAGTTGTATGATGTATTGTTTAATTTCATTAACAAGTTCAAAATGCAGTCACTCGTTTTTCTCTTTCATATCTATTATAATCTATTCTAGGAGGATTGTGATCGATCCCATTCTCTCATCATATGAAGGGGACGGATCAAGTGTCGTAAAAAATTAGGGATGGCAATTTGTATTTGTGGATCGTATTCGTGTCGTGTCGATATAGGGGTATTATATTAAATAGGTAAATTTAAATCCTACTCATTTAATAATCGTGTCAAGAATTTTCAACACTAACCCAACTCGTTTATTAAACAGGTAAACATATTAACCCGTTTAATGACCTGTTTATTAAAACAAGATATTTAACATTTAATCAAATGCTCAATAATAGAAAAAAAATTGTCATAATTAACCCAAATATTTAAAATAAAAAGAAAAATCATAAGACATAGACAAAGTTTATGTTGAAATGACTTAACTATCCATAATAATTAGATTTAAACAAGTAACATATTACATATATCATATTCATGATTATAACATGATGAGTTAAATGGGTCATAAACGGGTTAGACGGGTTAAACCTCTCAACTCTAAAACCCTAAGTCGACAAGGTTAAATAAACGGGTTAAGTCGACCCTTTTATGACCCAAATTCATTTATACCAAACCCAAACTCTTTTAAATCGTATCGTGTTGTATCGTGTTCGTGTTGCCGTATCGTAATTTGTCACTCCTATAAAAAATTGTTATCTGGGCTTGATTCGCACATAGCGCTAACCATTCTACTCAACTCCAATTTAGCATTCTCTAGTCGGGAGGGGGAGCTCCGGCCATATTGTCTGTCTGTCTTGTTTCTTTCTAACCAATCATATCAAGGAACATACCAAAGAAGCATATTTATTTCCACTCCTCTGATTTTACACGACAGAAGGTTTATTGTAATTTTCAAAACTTGTAACAAACAATTGGCGTAGTAGAAAGAAAAATTACCTTTGAATTAAACTGAACCACAACCTTAAACTCCAACATACTCTGTTTTCAAATCACCAAAACTATCCAAATGGAAAATACAAAAATGATCAAATGTTGATAACAAAAACTATTATTTTAATATCAACATAGCCTAATTAGCTTGGACCCAAGCCATTGCACAAATTTGCAATATCTCACCACAAGTGAAGCATTGAAAATGATGCATCAATTATTTGTTCTTTCCGAAAAAGTTGCTAATTAATTATTATTATTTTTATTTTGTGGATCAGAATTTGATCGATGACTACTTTAAAATGCATGGTATAGGAACACGTATACATATAAAAATATAGATGTATAAGATGCTGAACTCTACTTATGTCCCGCTATACTTGAGTTTAACAAAAACCTATTATCTTGGCGTTTTTTCATTTGCAACATAAAGCCTCTTTCACCATCAGGGGTCCCAACTTTCCAAAGAGTAGGTGACCCAGCTTTCCAAAGAGAAGGTCCGTGGTACCGGCCCCAAGTTTTCAAAGGGAGGTCAGGGGTTCAATCTCCCTCTTCAATCAAAATATGCCATCTCCCCCTTCAATCTCTTCAATCTCTATAATCAATCGAAATATGTTCTCCCCCTTCGATCCTTGTGTCACGCCCCAAAATCCTAAATACATGAACTCTTGTCTCGTATTAAGATTTGGCATGACTTTCTTTACACAACCACAACCTTACAATAAAAATAATTAAATAAAGAAGTAGATGTAAACCACCCTCTAATTTATTAAATCGATACAACCATAATATCAAACAACCTTGTCAAAAATAATCCATGATAATTAGACAAAATGAACTAACTCTCAAAAAAAATATCGTCATTCTTATTACAATGCGAAAATTGAACTAAACCAAAGAATACGACAAACAAGCCAAAATCCATCACCATCATGTAATCTCATCACGATCCTACTCAACGTGTACCTGAAATGTGATAATGGGGTGAGCTCACAAGCTCAGCAATAAATGCTAAACATAATCATCGTTCAGCAAATTTACCTTACCTTGTATTCCTGTATATATAAGCAACTCAAATAAGTTCATTATTCAAATATGTATAACCCAGTTAATTATAAACTTAATAAATAACCATCTTTTATTTTTAATAAATCGGCATATCTCACATGAGCCCCGGGCTCCCGTCCAATAAAATGGTGTGAATCGTATAGTCCCTGACTACCAAAAACACACGTGTGGCTGGATTGTACGTCTACTCCCCAGATGATCCCTGATCACGTCCACACAATAAGGGCTCATTAGACCCGTGGCCATAACAAAAGGGTAGTGCACTCCCAAATAGGTAGGTCCCTGACCATACCCAGGAGTCATCATAGGGTCAATCCCTGAATGCCCTCCGACTAATCCAAACTCATCATTATTAATTATGATGAATTATGAGAGACATTATTAATTAATAATATAAATTAATAAGTAATACAACCAAACACACTTTTAATTTAAAACAGAACCCTAAAGACCCAACTAGTGGGAGTACAAAATTTCTAGACATAGCCTATCCTTAGATACATGACCCTGCAAAATTTCAAAATCTATTGCTTAATAGTTTTTCCGTACTCCCTGTCTTTGTATTGAAAAAAATAATACTTTTTCAAACAGTTCACATATGATAAAAATAATATTGTGAAAAATATTATAATTTTTGGAACATTAATAATATATTTCCCTAATTTATTTCTAATTCTAAATCAGTTTAAATTATTAAATAAAAATAAATAAATGAATAATTTCTGATGGACAAAGAAATGGTCTAACATTTAGATCTTAACTAATGGACCACACAGCCTAACTCGTTGGCCAACTGCTCACACCCTAGTCCAAACACGCCCCATACACCATCCAATGGCCCAATGCGGGTGAAATCAAAACACCCAAAATGAGTCTTCCACCAGTTTAAATTATTCTTTCCAGGAGCTCAACCAGCAACTTCTAAGTTGTGTTTCCAACCATGCATAACCAAGTCCAAATCCACTTTGTTAAATACAGGTCATCCCACAATCATGGATTATTTATTGCTTAATTTATTAACATACACATGAGAATTAGTTTATGAAACTAGTCTAAACACCATAATTTTTTAATCCCAAAATAATGATCTCCAAGACCCAGTACTAATGACTACACCACTGCCATATACCAACGTACCCACATAAATCCCTCTTTGACTGAAACTCTACAAGAATTTCCTTCCTATAAATATATATCTACCACGTGAAGACTACTTTACTTCAAACAGTCCACACATAAACACGCGCACATACATCTATATATATATATATATATATTTACATTAGATCAGATTTGTCATTAATCAGAACTTACAGTTAAGATTATATGAAATTTTATATACTCAAATACAAATATACTTAAAGGTTCACGCATCTTAATTATAACCAAAGTAACTCTACAAATTACATACATGCAGTCATTCTCAAACATGTAAATATAGATACATTCATATATAAATCATTATTATTACTATAAATTATAACAATGAAATAAACTAAATTTCATATTCAACCAATATACATTTTTCGTAAGAAATGTAAAGACTCTTAAGATTACTTGATTAAATACAACTACTCATGCAACCAATATATATTGTATTCTTAATCAGTAACTTGCAACAACATATTAAAATATGCTAAAATATACATCTTTTAAGAAGTTACGAATATATATAGAACTACAATGCAAGATTAACTTGCCTGGGATATTAATTAATTCTTCCTTCCTACGCGAATTCCAGATTATCGTTCCTTCTCTCGGCTACTGCAGAAAGACACGACGTCAGATCACTCTCTTTAGGTCTCCGTCCTATCATGCTGTATCGTGCTAATATTATTATTATTTTTTTAAAATAAATCCTCGTAGAACTGATACAACGTGAAAATATAAAGGATAAATATAACTGCATTTGAGATAACCTAGGACTCTTATTTTAAGATTTAAATTTTAAAAGAAAAACTCTATTATCTCTACTATCACATTAAAATACTAAATACTAAATAATAAAAATAATGTACGAAATTTTAGGGTTTTACACCTTGTCAATCGAAATATGCTCTCCACATGTTTGATACATGAGAATGGATGATCTTCTTCCAATAAATTTACCATCCTCACTTTCTTACTTTCCAAGTCATAATAAAATAATTTTGGTGTTTCTGCAGATTTAGTTGCAAATAACAAGAGTAAAATCTCACCTGTATGGATGGTACCAATTGGTAGCTTCATCGCCCCATCATCATCTATTAGTGGCATCCCCTCATACATAATTACGAGACTTTCTTTGTTCCATAGTTGTTTTTCGTAATCTTCTAAAATCCAAATTGTCGTCAACTTCTTATCCATTACAGCCAAATTTTCTCCAACTTGTAGTAATGAAGAGCCATATTTATTGCCAGAAGGAAGAGACATGGCTCGAAACTTCTTGGGTCCCACTTCAAAAGCCAATATAATATTTTCATCCTGTTCATCCCCAGAACTTTCATTGGGATACCTATGTAGAGAATTTAGACAATATATAACACCGTCAATGTAACAAGTGCTAGCATCACATTCGAATTCATTCACATTCAATTGTTGCGGGATAGAATCATCAACAATATCTCTCCATGAGTTGCTGCCAAGCGTCAAAATCTTGTACTCAATTGGCCCATCCACCCGATAGCCTCTTCGGTAGCCTCTTTTAGTAGTAATATGGCATCTGCCAAGGACTTTGTATTTCATAGTGGAAGGATCATACCCTAAGAAGTATTCTGGATATAATTTCAACCGCCGCCTGTATTGTAAAGTCACGGTAACGCTAATGGGAGGAATGTCTATGCATTCTCGTGTGCTAGGATTCCATATCCAGTCTTCGATACGAACCAAGCCGTTAACCAGCTGATGCGGACTATATATCATTCTGGCCTCCAAATTTAGAATGTGATGGAGTTCGTGTCCCTCCGGGTCTGCAGAGTATAGTACCGGGTTTGGAGAGTATAGTTTATTGAAACCATGACAGAAGATGATGATGTTGATAGCACCAGGGCGACTGTAGGAGCGAATATGGTGGGAATGAACGAAAAAGGGATCGTCAATGATAGAGCACCAGAGCTTGGAAACACACCTCAATCTCAGCAAACTTTTCACGGGAAGCTCTTTGAGTATCTGGAAGATCATCTCTTGCGGAAGTACTGAAAACCCTTCTTCTACCTCTTCTTGTTTCTCCATCTTATTAGCAGAAGAAACTTTTTAGGGTTTTCTGATATATGTATGTATAATTGTGAGTGAAATATAAATGCTTGCTTCAGTTTACCTATATGATTCTGCTCCTGTCTGGGCACTTCTTTCCAAGCTTCTTAAAAAGTGGAGGTGATCTTTTCCCTTAATCAAGGACGAATACTTACCCTCTGCGTTGTATATATTGATGGTGAAGTAGGGCTGTTAGCGGTAATTAAGGCCCGTAACATCCTTAAGGGTGTGTTTGGTAAGATTGATTTGGAGGGATAAGGGGAGAAAAGAAAAGAGAGGATAGTGTAAGTGTGTGTTTGGGTAAGTTAAGTGGAGGGATAAGGAGGGATAAGGAGAGAAAGGGAGGGATAGCTATCCCTCTCTATCTTTCATTTGCTTTCTCCTCAATTTTGAGAAGATAGGGAGAGAAAGGATAGTGATTTTAGTGGTATTTTGATAATACCAAAATTAGCCTCCACAAATCAATACACAAATTTATTATTCCATTCAAATCCCATGGTTATGAAAGGGTAAAAAAGTAATTTGTCTATTATCCTTTCTTTTCTTTTCTCTACTCTATCTTATGCAAACAAGAATAACTATCATTTCTTTTCTTTTCTCCCCTGCCTATCCAAATACAAATATAAATTATTACTATTATTTCTTTTCTTTTCTCACTAAACTATCCTTTCTTTTCTTTTCTTTTCTTTTTTCTCATAACTAATACTATCCAAACACACCCTAAGGCTTGACAACAAGAAGTCCCGAGTCAAAACAGATACTTTTTTTGTTTTTTTTCCTGGCAAACAAACTACACTTTCCTCACTCTCCAATATATTTTTCAAAATATAATAATGATAGCTAATACAAGCCTTTTGCCCCCTCTTAATCTCAAAATAGGCTGCCTAACAACCCTAACCCGTTGAAATTCAAATTTCCTAGAAAAGAGGAACAAACTTTAACTAAATCAAAGTTGGGCCCCGTAGGCTAGCGTCCGGACGCAAGGTTTGGCGTTCGAACGCGAGGTTAAGTGCATGGCCCAAATGTAACTTGTTTTGCATTTCTTCAGCTTGGACTATTGAGTCCTTCTTCATCCTAATGTGTTGCTGAGAGTTTCCATAGATACATTAGAACCTCTTTTCTTGACTAGCCCTAGATGTTGACACCCGGAGTGCATTTGATCTTCAAAAGCTCTTACAGTTTTCTTTTTATTTTTTTTTGGAGAGTACACCTGAAAATAGACAAAAACATAAAAATGAAGATAATCTATATACAAAGACTAAATAATGGACTTAACTAATACAATTAAGGGCGCTTGAATATACAATATTCGGTGCTTATCACTCCCCCAAACTTATATTTTGCTAGTCCCTTAGCAAAACAAAAATGAAACACACCATAAACTATTCACATTTTTTCTCTTCCGTGGGAGTGACGATTGCATTTAGCATATGCAACAAGCCTTTTAAACCCCTAGGTATCCCTAGAGGACGAGTGAAGTCTCGTGAGGGTTTACTAGAAATGATACCCACAAACATTAAGCAACAAGGTTCATTCTAGTAAACATTGAAATATGTGACTTTGGGGGAAAAACTATATCATGAAGACTACAACAAGTATGCATACAATGACATCTCAAAACAATATTCAATTCCCAGCATTCATGCATCAACAAATTAGTCCACGTACATGATCCTCAACATCTTATTTATAATAGAATTTCATCTCAAATTCCTTAGAAGTGAACCGAAATTCAATATTCTCTTTAGAATGCATTTTTAACCCTTTTATGACTCATACAATGTCTTCTACATCCTTAATTAATCTTTTGAAATCATAATCCAAGGTTAACAAATTTTGTATTGATTTATTTATTTATTTTTTTTTTTATTATGCATGATCATGTGCAATGTCTAAGTTCCTTGAGGTATCTAACCATCCCATATAACAAGCGTTGAGCGAATAACTCCCAAACCAGATGGTCTTAGGGCGTTAAGTGTAAGACACTCCTAAGGGCGTAATGACTCGGAATGGTTAGGCTACAAACTCAAACTAATCATACATCTTACATTCTTTCCTTGTCTTTCTTTTTAATCAGTTGACATGTTGAAAGAATGTAGTTTTATTCAAATGTTATTTCCTTCTCATTATTCAACTTTGCCCAATAGAAAGACCCAAAAAAAAAAAATTTCCTTATAATCTCCTTAAAATTTTTATTTGTATTAACTATTAGACCCTAACCAATAGAGATTTAATAGAGTCAAAAGATTTTTATCTTTATCTTACCTCTAGCTTCTTCTTCTTCTTTTTTTCTCTCTCTCTCTCAGCTCTTCACGTTTTTTTTTTTGTCCAGAATTTTTTAAACTTTTTATATTCTTATTTTAACTTTTATCTTCCTTGTTTTTTTTTTCTTCGTATTTCTGACATATTTTTTTCTCATTCATTATTTATTTATTTATTTTATTTTCATAATTAATCATTTTATTCTTTTATTTATATACGTGTGTATATATTACATTTAGTACAAGTTGAAGAAGACGGGTATTAAAGTCACTAAAAAGAGGAGAGAAAATTTTAGTCCTGGAAAATGGAAATGTGCAAATGACGTTTCTTAATATTAATTTTGGTGAGAGAAGAAGAAATGTCCCAAAAATAGGATCCTTATTCGTTAATATAAGACAAGAGTTTACTTACCTACACTACACCGTTTTGAAACCAAACGGACCAAAAGTCCTTCATCTTTTCTTCTTGTGCTTCTCCCCCCCTCTCAAAATCAAGAATTTATGAACTTGCAAAAATTATTTATACGTATATGGATCTATTAAACAACTAATCAAGCAATTTATTTTATTATTATTTTAAAATTTAAATTATTTCTACTACCACTACTAGTACTATTATTATTATTATTATTGTTGTTGTTGTTGTTGTTGTTGTTGTTATGATTAATTTCACTAACATTCCCTCGAGTTTGGCCATATTTTACCTTCAAACATCTTTTAAAAATAATTATCACTCACGTTACAAACTTTTGCTCTGTTTTTCTTACATCCCAAGCATTACTTAAACAGTTATGATACCATGTAAAATAACTTAAATATCCTTTGATTTTATCAAAACAACTCTTTAGCCTAAAGAAGTAGATTAAAGACTAAAAAATCCCTAATATTTTTGTAAATTTACAAATTATATATATATTATACACACAAGCACAACACCACCACCAACACCAGTGAGGATGTTGGCGTAGGAGACGACAACGAGGCAGGCACAGGAGATGACAGCAGGGCAAGCGAGCTTAAGGGCGGTCTTGGCATGGACGACGATGTCAGAGGCGCCGCTTGGGAGGGACAGGTTGACGTTGGCGTCATACTCAGCCTTGTTGAAAGGAGTGGAGGAGACGAGGACAGAGGCGTCGCAGCCCTCGATGAGGAAATCGTGGTCCGAAGTGTTGACGTGGTTCGGAAGGGCAATCTCTAGTTCGTTGTCTTCCTTCCCACCAAACCACCATCGTCTCGCGACCTCCTCCCCGTAAATTGTCTTCTTCCACGGTGGCAGATTCACCTAGTTAGCTTAACGTCAACATCAAGGTCTACGATGCCGTCTACCGCCGCTTCGCCCTCAAGGGCCTCGCCGTTGTCGTCTCTATCAATTTATTTTTGTTATTTTTAAATTATTATTATTACTACTAATATTATAAGTTATTATTATTATTATTAGGTAAATTTGTAAAAAAAATTCTGAACTATTAGTTAGTTGCAAGAAGGCCCCTGAAGGGTATTATGGGTATTGTACTTTTCTAATATTTTACAACTTTTGTATAGATTAATAAGAGGGGGCATTTTGATAATTTTGACCCTCTGAGCACTAAAAAATGTGGTCTAATGATCGAGGGGCTTATTTGGATCCTTGGTTTGATTAGCAACCCGAGATAGTCCAAAGAGTTATTTTTCACATTCTTGATAGTTTACGGATTTCCAATTATAATTCGATTAGCCTTAAAAGTTGTCAATTATTGAACTTCACGAAAGTAAGAGCATCTCCGATGCAAAATGCTATTTTTTCATGTCAAATCTATATTTTAAGAGGAATTACAGTATCAAAAAGCTATATTTTAACAATTCTGCTCTAATGGTGCATTTCATACAAAATGTTATTTGGAGTGTATTATTTTTATCTACCTATATTTTGAGAAACAACAATGTAAGAAAAGATACTTCTCAAAAAATTTTAAAAGCTACTATATATAACAATACTTTTGACAATCTCAAAATATGAAAAGTTTTTTGAGAGCCCATTGAAGTGTATTATTTGAGTTGAGTGTAAAATGAACCGTTGAAAAAAGATACTTTTCTTTTCGGCAAAAGAATTGCTTAAGTGGTTCTTACAATTACCCAGAAAGAAAGAAAAATATACATATATATGTTGAACTTCAAACCAAGAACTAGGGAGCAAGAATGGAGGTAAAAACAAAATAATCAAACCGAAGATGGCCTTAAAAATCCTTCTTTTAGTAACAAAAATAGAGAATTTTTTTTCTCCCCGACAGAAGAATTCAATGAACTTATGAAGTTATGTGGCACAACTAAACACAACATACACGCAGCATTAATAAACATGACTAATTTGAACGAACTTTGGTTAGCCAGTGGCTGTACCAAGATATAGAACACCACTTGGAGGGAAGGGAAGATGAGGTGACCGGAATCGAACAGAGACTTTGTCCTATTTCAGGCCTATGGATGCTTAGCTTAACAAACCCCCCCTTGATACTCCTGGGTCAATTGAAGAAATCATTACAACACTTGGAGCAACCATTATAATTACAATGCTCAAGAAACTGTGAACAAAAGTAATTAAAAAGCAAATCAAAGTAGACCCTGAACTCATAGGTGGCATAGAAACAAACTGTTAACATTTAAGGTCCAAGGCAGACTACAAAATAACCTAATCCCAATGAAATGTAAATTCCACCAGGTGGGGAAACCATGAACCAATATCATCCCCATCAACTTCAATTTCATATTTGATATGGAGGATGAAGTTAAAACCATCCCCTGCAAAATCAGATATAACCGCCAAAATAGGAACACAAACTAATACAAATGTCTTGAATATAGTATGATTCCTACCACCATCAATTACTACCCAGCCCGTATCTGCAATCCTAATATTATTGATTCGTCAAAAGAGGAGCCTCCGTCTCAAAGTCTTGCAAGAGAGAAGCATTCGTTAAACATTGGTCCTAACTCTTTGCAGGCACATCAGCAGCAGGAGGAGCAACACCACCAGTAGTTGGCCTAAAAGGCGCAAGAAGGCCTCATTAAAATTAGACGATAAGTATCCCCATAAATACATACATATATATATATGAGCATATAGTAAAGAATAGTGGAAATATAGAAAGAAACTTACAGTCCAACAAAAACTTTGAACGCATCGTAAATACCCCATTGCGCGCCAGTAAGGGTTCCAATCATGACTATACGAAGAGGAAGGCCACGAGTAAACAAGCCCCACAAACCTAGCTTCTTGACAGCCTGCAACATCCAAAGGACATTAAACAAAGTCGGTGATCATAAAGGAAAGGAATTACAAATCATTAGAGTCTGGTATCTTTAACTCACGTCACCAACAGTTGCCCCCTGGGCATTGTTAAGAAAAGAGACCAGGTTATCAGCAGGATGTGATACAATAGCACAGAATACACCAGCGACGTATCCACCAGCAAAGCTGACCCCAAGCTGCAAAGATTTGCTGCACTGGTCTTTTGGGGTTGGGATGGCATACTTGTAAAGGAGTTCCACAATAGTCTCAAAAGACGCAAACTTCATCATTGTATCTGCAAATACCCATTTTGATCATCAAAAGGCATCATTGCATATCATGTTCATCAAGTGCACGTCTTCTGACAAACATATCAATGCATAAAAGTTAATAGTAGACAATAAAAAAATATATTGCACCTAATTGATGGAATCCTACTATATTTTTGTCTTTATGCAACATTTAAAATAAAAAAAAATTATAAAAACCACAATGCACCAATTAGTTATTGGATAACATTACATAATAAGATTACATCAATCGGTTAATCATGGAGATCTTGCTTCTTCAAATGCTAATCTTTGATAATGTAAAGACCAAGGGAAGATCAGGGTTCGAAGACTTGTGCAAATTCAAACTCTAATCACTTCACTATTTTTCTTTTTAAAAACACGTCTCTACAATTTAAAACCATCTATTAACTATCAGTGGGAAAATGCAACAAATAAATCAAGATGCAGGGAAACAATTGCAATAGGTTTCCAATAGAATCTAAATGTAATCCAAGTTCTATAAACTGGTAAGGCTAAGAACGAAGAAATTATTGGCTTCTCGAGGAAAAATGATACTCTGCTCCAGTGAGCACAAAACAAAGGTGATAAAGAGATTCAAACATATAAACAAATATTCAGCAAGCTTCAGGCAGGTTGAAATCCTGTCAAATACAACAAATTATAGTTAACCATTTTTATGAAATTATTTGAAATTTGGAAACCTGATCAGCTTTTAACTAAAACCAGAGACAGAAGTCCATTGAGCAACACATACATAGAACAGACAGCAGCAGTAATCCAAATATGTGTTAGAAAAACAGCTGCATGCCGAGAATTTTATTTAAATTCTATTTACTTTTGGTGGGTAGATGGAATTCTTTCCACTATACCCTGTGAATCCATAATTACCTCAAATTCATTTAAACCACTATTTTTATAGCATTTATCAGTAAATTTAGTTACCAGGAAACGGAGAGTTGAACTGTAGAAGGAAGCAGCATGTAAAATATAGCTAGCATACGGAGAAGAATAATAATAAAATTATAAAAAGGTTTAATTTAAATATATTTAGGGAAAATGACATAATCAACTCAGGTGCATATCATAACAGAAGAGTAATAGACATTGAGGTAATTGCTCATAAATTTTATGAAAGAGTGTCCAATCCCCCTTCCCCTTGTTCTTCATACTCCCAGAGACAAGGAATAGAAGTACTTAAAGGTAAGACTCCAAACTAGATTAGAAAGAAAACAACCACCACCGAGCAGATCAATAACAACAAACAAGTAATAGACTGAGTACATCCCTCTACACTTCATAGCTTAGATAAAACATGGAACAAAGTAGATCTGTCAGCTTACATGGAATCTGTCGTCCCCAAAGCGGAACAATCCCTTTGTAAAGCCTATAAAAAGGTAATAATCATCATAAAGTTATATAATGATACTTTCAAGAAAATTAAAGCAAGTGAATTCAATACCATATTTTTTTAAATCAAGTAAATTATGTATGAGAATCCCACCCAAGAACGCCCTCAGACTTGACGAACTTTGGAAGGCCATCTGACAAACCTCTGGCAAACCCAGGCTGAGTTTGGACACGAACCTTCACTGCTTCAAAGGGGCAGAGGGCAACATCAGCAATTACTTCAGCAGATGCAGAGCCAGCAAGGTAAATCAAAGTTTTGTATTTTGCTGCATATTCTGGACCAGCAATGTCAGAGTAGTACTTCTTGAAGAATTCATAGAATCCAAACTTGCAAGCACCCTGTGCGCTATAACCAATCAAGGTTGGCACCCATCCCCTGAAGAAGCCTTTAAATCCCTGCTCCTTGAGCAAAACACCAAAACCAGAAGAAATGCTCTTGTACTTTGCAGGGTCAATCTGAAAATTTTGACAAGAGCAGTGTTACTTCAATTTTTCCAATGACGAACAAATAACCACAAATTTGTAAATCAAATGGCTCCATTGTTGAGGAATTCCACTGTCATATATTGACGCTCATACATATTGCACTTGACAAATATATGATTATGGATTTAGATATGTATAAATATATATAGTTAAGCATACATTCGTGCGTATATATGCACGTGTGCATACATAATGCTAGGGAAAATTCAATTTCCACAGAAAACAAAACACGGAGCTAAATACAAAAATCAAACTAAGACGATGCCCTCTAACAGGAAGAAAAAAAGTCAATAATGGTGAATGAGACAATGAGTGTAATTAACCACCATAAAGTTGATAAGTGAGGTCAAACTTCAAATCTGTCAAATCATATATATATTGAGAAATAACATAGGCCAAATGAAAGCCTGGAAAGCATATAACCAGATTTTTGCAAAGCCAAACCGTAAACATGTTTGATTAAGAATACTGGAAATGGGGTTTACTGTTAAGATTGCAGCAACAGAATTGAACATGAAACAAAGTGATGTAATAATATATAATTCAGCTCTAGACTCATTTTCCCCATGAATTGAACCCTGTTTAATATTACAAATTCATAGAGTTAGGTATCAAATTACTAAAACATACAAATTACAAGAGACATTGCATCTTATCTCACACCATGCAAATGTCTCTAGAAATCAGATCCTGAACCAATATATAACGTCGTAATAAAAATAAGAAGCACCACAGATCTAAGTTTTTTTTATAATAAAAAAATAAAAAATAAAATAAAACGCCTGATCACAACATATATTTGTATGTGTGTGAACAAACATAAATTATATATAAATATATATTTACATTGAGAGATAGATAGATAGAGAGAGAATAGAACAAGAAGAAAAGGACCTGCATGTTGCACTTGACGAGATCAAGAGGGGTGACAGCCGTGTGAGTGAGACCACAGCTTAAGATACCACCGACCGTACACGCCGCATAGTATTCCTTAGAGTACATGGCGACCTTACCGGTCTCGCTCGGAGCTGGAATCACGAAGCTGCTCTTCGGTGGTGGTGGTGATGATGAAATGGACGGCGAGGTAGTGTTTCGATTAGTCATCAAATTGTCCAAATCGATGAGTTTTTTGGATGATAACGAAGAAGAGTAAAGGAAGTTTGGAATGACAGAGTGGCGAGAGTCTGACAACGCCATTCTGAGGTGCGGGTGTGTTCGAGGTTAGGGTTTGTGTGAGACGGCAGAGATTCAGACGATTTGATAGAAATGACCAGAGAGAGAGTGAGAGAGAGAGTGTGCGTGGAGGCACAACAATGCGAGAAATGGTATGTGTGTTTGGGTGTTGGGCCTTGCGGGTCGAAACCGTCACGGGCCCACATTTGCGCGACTTTGTAGAGAGAATCCTTTTGATACTTCGCCCCTCTACTTCTTCATGAATTACAAAACACTGTGCAATAATATTTTTCGGGCATTACCCAGTGACTAGTTAGTAAAAAATATATATATATATTTTCTTTAGAATGAAAATAGAAATGGTCATTCTTATTCTACTATTTAGTTTGTACATATGAAATGACGTGGGAATAGAATGAAAATAACCATTCTATTATTTTGTTACAAATATAAAATGACGTGGGAATGGAATGATAATAACCATTATAGTATTTTAGTTGGACCAATTTAAAACCTACAATGTCCAAAATATACAAATCAATTAAATTAAGAAAAATAATATTCTTCTTTAATCAGTGGATGGCGGGGGACAATAGTGGTGGAAGTGGAAGACTCCAATGGTGCAGGTGGTGATGTTGGAAGGCGGCAACGGTAATAGTGGAAGGTGGCGATGGTGGTGGAAGGAGATGGAGTGGCAATGACGATGGTGGAAGGTGATGGAAGTGGTAGTGGTGTGTCACGCCTCGAATCCAAATGACCCGTTGCATGATTGAGATGAAAAGAAACTAGACCAGAAACTCAAGTCCCAATGTAGAAGGAAAACTCTACCCATTAATCTTTGGGATCGATTAACTAGATTCCCAACCACCTAGTAAATAATGAATCCCGATAATCAATCACTAAATGACCATACATCTCACCGTAAAACAATGGAAATGACAAATCACGTGAAACGTTACTTTACTTCACATTTGAAAATTGTAATGACCCGGTCATTTTTTTCCTTTCTTTTTTCCTCAAAATTTTACGGATGAATTTTTTTCGTTGAAATTTCTTTTCTGAGTTCAGTTTCTCATCACTTAGTGTCATCTTGAGTGTTCAGAAATGGCTTCTGAGACTTTTTCCTTTCGATTGACAACTTCCTTTGAGGACCGAATCATTTCCACATTTTTCATTTTTCGACACTATTCATTTTTCGTCTTTTTCCCCGTATGTCACTTTGTTGGCACAACCTCACTTTTCATGTTCGGATTTGATTCCGATTTTGCATGCATCCATGATATTTAAATTACATGCCATGTGTATTTTTACTTTCCTAGAAATGCATACCATTAGTGCATTTTCTTCCTTAGGGGTGTGGATTCACACTTTCTTTGAAAACTTTTTATTTTTGGGGTTACTTATGTAATTACTTAAAGTAATTATTTTTTGTCTTATGGACCATTTTGTAATTTAATTTGGAAGATATTTTCAAAAAGGACCTTTTTGCAATTTCTGAAAAAGTTTGACAAGTGTCACACTCTCATTGGTCCACTTGTTGACATTTGTGTGGAAACACTTTGATGTCTTGGATGATGACATGTGGAGGGTGGAGATTCACCCACTTGTTAGCCTAGGATTGGTGCACTTGTTAGCTTGGATGGTTGACAAGTGTAGGCTTGAGATTAAGCCTAGGATGGAGCCTTGGATTTGTGACAAGTGTAGGCTCACAATTAAGTCTTGCAATTATTTTTGGGCCACTTTGGGATTATGATTTTAAAAAGGGATTTTATGTAATTGACCATAGATGTGTGTGTTAACCATGGTGTAGGATCACCTAGTGAGTGGAGGATTTCTATTTCCTCCACTCACACATTTTCACATTATGTCATTTTCTTCCTCATTAGAACCATAGCCTCCATGGATGGAGCTTGAAGCCTTAAGCCTTGACCTTGATTTTTGAGGCCATTCCACTCACCTTAGACCATGAAGCTTGGAACACTTTTTATTCCCCTCATCCTCCTCTACATAACCCTTGAAAGGTTTGCTATTCTGTATTGATTTGCCTTGGATTCTAGAGAGACTCTTCTCTAATGAGGTAGGGGGTGTTATAATTTACTTTCCAAGTGGTTTTACTTGCTTTTGTATGAAATACAAGTTGTATGCATGTAATATATTAATTTGAGAAATTAATGATTTATTATAACTTGCATATAACTCACTTTAGACTTGATATATGGCATGGCCTTGACTTGATCTTTGTTATATGATTATTTAGAGCCATTTGAATGAGTTTCTAAATCTAGAGATTAAATGAATTTAAATTGATTTAAATTCTAGTTAATTGTACCTTACTTGTTTTTCCATTTTTGACTTGATATATGGTTTGGCTATGACTTAGTCCTTGTTATATATTTATTTGGGATCATTTGAGCAACTTTTAAAAATTAGAGATATAATTACTTTAAATTAATTAAATTCTACATGATGATGTCTTACTCATTTTGCTCTTTTGATTTGATATATGAATGAGCATACTATGTTGTTTAACATATATTAATTTGAGGTTATTTGGAATCGGTTAAAAATCTAGAGACTTTACATGTTAGGTTGATAGTCTCTTGAAATGTAATGTGTTTAATTACCTTGTGAGCATGCTACTAACTTGTGGTAGAATTAGTACTTGTGGCCTCTTAAGATGGTAATTTGACTTAGCATGATATGTGATATCATTGTCTTGAATAGCTTGTTTAAATGTATCTTGTGTAGGTATATAGCTAGTTAGAATATCACAATTGTTTACCTTGGAAGTTAGTTACTAAATTGAGGCTTATTTAGTACTTGTGGCTTAGGATGGTAATGTGGCTCAATTGTTGTAAAATATTCTTGCTTTGTGTATAAATTGCATATTGGAGACTTGACATGTTATATGCTATCTAGACTTGAATTCTAGGACATGAATTATGTGGATTCAACCTTACTTGTGCATGGAATGTGGTAACTTGCATTTGATTTTGTATAAGTTTTGAACTTATTGGTTTTGGGAGGCTTGTAAGGATCATGTCTATGTGATGGCTAGGGTTTGGCCCTAGTACGGATTCATGAGATTCCTAAGTCATATGAAGTGCGTAGTAGGTAGTACCTTGTGGGTTGTAATTACCCAGAATAACTTATACACGTGCGCATTAAGTAGTACCTTGCGAGCTAGTAACCCGGAATAACTTAATTGGTCTGTAGCCAAGGATCCTAGTCTTTTCATTCTTGATTTTGCATTAAATTCTAAGTAGCTAATTATAGATTACTTATAGCTTGTGAATTGGTGTTTGCCTTGTGTATTTGGATCTCATTTAGTATACTTGCGACTGTATACTTGTTTTGTGTAATTTGATCTCATTTAGTATACTTGAGACTGTATACCTGCTTCGTGTATTTTGATCTCATTTAGTATACTTGGAACTGTATACTTGCTTCGTGTATTTTTGACCTCATTTAGTATACTTAGACTAGTGTACTTGTTTGTGTATTCGAGCCTCTTTTAGTGTACTTAAGCTAGTATACTTATTCCGTGTGCGTAGGTTTCATTTAGTATACTCGTGCTATGTATACTTGTTTCATGTACAACTTATCTTGTTTAGCATACTTGTGTATGTATACTTGATTCATGAGCTTTCCATATTAATTGTATACTTGTGTAGGCATGCTTAGACATTGCATGACTTGTCTTAATATGGTTTAGTATACTTGGAAATGTATGCCTATATGTCATATACCATGTTTTAACATCGTTTAGTATACTTAAGCATGTATACTTGTATGCCGTTGTTTATTTTAATTGTATGAGTAGCTTAGGATGCTCCCTGAGTCTCATCTTGACATAGACGTTAGGTAGCATGGCCCCTTTTGAATTGTTTCAAGTTAATGTAAAAATCTTAAAGAAATCGAGTCTATGCATGCTCATTCTCTACGAGTAAACTTGTTTACTCACCCCGAAGTTACTGGGGGTTTTGATCAGGTATGAAGACTTGGTTCGTGATGTTCATCATAGCTTGGATGATTGTAGATTTGAAGGTTTCAATTCTTGTAAAGGTTGGCTTGAAATGCCACTTGTAGCCTTAATTGTCAAAATGTGTATTTTTTATTCCATTTATGTAATGTGTACTTAAGTACACCCTTTACAATGTATTTGACATGTATAAGATGAGGCCGGAGGCCAATGACATATATTTTGTATTCTATGTAAATTTTGACTTCATGAAATAATATGAGAATATTGAAAAATGATAAGTTATTGTTTCACCATGGGAGCATCGGGTGTGGTAATTTCATTTTCATTCTTTCATAAGATCTCATTAATCATGTATGAAGTGTGGCCAAGGGCCAAATGGTAATTTGAAGTCATTTGTTAATTTTAGATTTCAAAATTTTCATTTCAAGTTCTTTTTCGCCTTTTTGGCCGTTGGGGAGTTGGATTTTGACTCGACCATTTTCGGGAGCCGTGGACCATTTCCGCACGCTCAAAATCACTATTTACATTTGCGTGCATGATCATTTTCATGAAAAACCCATTCATTTGTGTTTTGAGCCTCCTATGAACTTATTTCACCTTTTTGTTAAAAAATTCGGTTTAAGGGCATTTTGGGGATTTCCTTTGGGAAACAAACTCCGTTCTCAACTTTGTCACATAGAAAATGTGATTTTAGGGGGAGTTTCTTCACAACATTTTTCCGAAAAATGTCATCTCGGTCTTAAAAACTGCGTTGCAAACTCGTTTTTTTGCATTTTTTACTGTTGATACTGTTTTTCTGCAACCTGGGTGAGTTGAACCGGTTCAGGGTGGGCTGAACCAATTCAAGGTGTCATTTTGGTTTAGCTTGGGCGTACTGCCAATGTTGAACCGGTTCAAGTCCTCTATAGATTTCAGTTTTGGTCATCCAACTTCAAACCGATGTAACTTCTTCGTTTTAACTCTGAATTGGTCCGTTCTTGAGTCTAAATTGACCGCATTGAAGTAAGCTTTCCAATGGTACCAATTTTAGTTTCAGATTCTTCTCTTAGCTCAAGATATCCTCATTTTAGTGAGAGGGTGTCGGATTTAGTTCGAACCGGGATAAGGTTCTTCTGCGATTTCACTTCCTTTGGCCTTAGGACTTCATATGAAGTTACCAAAGGATGTTT